ATTCTTTCCATATAATCAAAAATCCACATATTTACACACTTTAGAAACGCGATAAATTCTTTATGAAACACGAAAAAATATGTAGAAGGTATGGTTGCTGTATCTTCAAAATTCTGTGTGTAGCGTCCTTGCAATCGAAACAATAATTTTGATAGACGACCATACAGCAATTAGTTAGAAAACGTTACGGTTTATTTAAAACACTTTTTTTAAATTCAGATGCATTTCGGGTTAATTTGTATTTCCAACCCTTCTTCAGTGCTGTTAAAATTACAAAACACAAGGTAAGTTTTACGACATTGGCAAGTATGACGTAAAAAAGGAGGAGTAAACAATAACAAAAAAACTTACATGTCATATAATTGTTTACCCCTCCTTTTTTTACGCCATACTTGCCAATGTCGTAAAACTTATTTTTAAAATTTTCGCTGGATTATATTGTCAATATATAAAAAGACAGTCATTTTCCAAAAATATTTTGGAGCGATCACCATTTATTTCTTTAAAATGTTTCATAACAAACTTGAGGCGACCCGACCTTTCCTTTTAGGCTACATGGCCGCCTATATAGTTACTTAAAACAAAGAAATAATCCAATAAAAAATATATACAATTTGTAAAAATGTAGAAAAATTGGAATTGGTGACCTTACGACATCTTAGGCTTGCATCCTTCTCCATTCGNTTTATGCTTTTCCCCATTAAAATTATACTTCATACTAACTTTACTGTCCTGTATATTTAAATAATCTATCTATGACAAATTAAACAAGAGGAATGCTCTGATTTTTATTGTTTAATTTTAAATTAACACTTTTTGTGATTTGGCATGATAAAAATTAATAATATAATAAGTATTTTTACTATTTTGTTCCTTAATGTTTAATTATAAAAAATTGTAAAATTTTAAAAATCAAAAAGTTCAAATTGACATACTTTATAAAACATAAAATAAATAACATTAGCTAATAATATAAATACATAGGGAAAGGTTGCTCAAGTCGTACCCGATAAAAAAGCCAGCATAAATTGTAGGATCTATTAAATAAAAAAGAATTATTTGTTTAATTTAAAACTTTTGTGAACGTTGTTGTTATTCATTATGATAAAGTTCGAATTACCTGAACCTTTTTACATGAAATTAACAAAACTTATCAAACTAAGGTCGGTACGACTAAGGAAATTAGTTTCCTAAGTTGTTCTTTTTCTTAGGTATTACTTAAGCTATAAATTACCATTTATAGCTTAAAGCCAAATTAGCTTAAACAGCTAATAGCTTAAACAACTAAAGCCTATATTTCTTAATTTTTTTTCTTAGGTATTACTTAAGCTATAAATTACCATTTATAGCTTAAGTAATACCTAAGAAAAATATTAAGAAATATAGGCTTTAGTTGTTCTTGTTTAAGTAATTTATTTGAATACAAATATTTTAAACACGTTTCCGTCGCATTTTCAGTTATTACAAACATCGCAAACATATTTCTTTGTTTTTTTTGTCAATTTCAGTACATTCGTTGATCATGCACCCGTGTCTTACGTTTTAAGCACTGAATCATGCATTCCTCACGATCTTCTGCACAAAGATTACAAAACCAATCGCTGTTCCTTATTTTTCTTTGCTTTTATCTTTTTAACATTCGTTGTTTGTATCTTCCAACTGCTCATTTCCTTTTATAAGGTATTTTCTGCTATTGCCATTAAAGTTGCCTCTGGAGTGTGTAAAGACAAGGAAGGGTTAATCCTCGACGATGACGTCGTAGAGTTAGTTTAGAAATTTTATATTGTCTGTGTGCTAAATTAAATGCTTAATTAATATTACATGTTACTGCGTAATGCTTAATGCCTCGTCGATATCTTATGGTTTCTGACTATTATAAATTCTTGTGTGATACGCTTCTTGTCTTGTCTTGTGTTCAATTATACTAGCGCTAAGGTGGCTTTCTTTTTGTTTTTGCTAGACTTATTATAACATCAGTAAAAAGAGGACAAACTTTAGAAAAACTTTTTATTCCTTTGAGAATGCATTTCGAACAATTGTGTCCCTTTTCAACTCTGCGTGTTACAACTATATAGGGAAAAAATTACATACAAGTTAGCATAATGTATACAAGTTTGTACAAAAAACGTCGTGATGTTACAAATTTGTAGAATATTTTTATTACATCCTGTATCTCCGCAGTTCTATCAGTTTCGTGAATAGTGCGTCGTAAGATTTTCTCAATGTACATGTAAAAGATGTTTTTTTTTATGTAAGTGGGTACTTCAGATGTGTAATGTATGATACTGTCAACGATGCATGGTCTTTTGTATTTTTTTAAAAGTGGTTTTGTTATTAAATCTAGTGACAAGGATGTCTGCGGAGATACAGGATGTAATAAAAATATTTTTAATGAACGAATACAGCAAAAGCACACTCAACAAATGGATCAACACCAAAAATTCTAATAAGCACGGACATAAAAACAATACCACTACTCAAAATTATTTTAAAATTTCATACGAACTAAATATACTTGAAAGAATCAAATCTGAATCACACAATTACGGTATAACCTTAGCACCAGAAAAACTTTCTTGTTTGAATTACAAGATAAACCCACATAATTATAATAATATATGGGACCAAAAAAACGTAATTTACAAACTCAGTTGCAACTGCACTCTCCCAAATCCTATATAGATGAAACTGGTAAAAATCTTAAGACCAGGTTTAAAGAACACATAACCGCGATTAAATATAATAATTAAAACTCAGCTGTTGCTGTCCATTGTAACAACGGAGGTTGCCAAATCATTAAGGAAACCGTAAAAATTGTCAAAAAAGAATCACATACGCAAAAAAAATGGCATGAACATCTAGAAATCCTTAAAAACAAAGATATTGTGATGAATAATAACATTCGTCAAAAACTACATGAAACTTGGTACCCATACTTGACCAAGAGAAGCCGCGAGGGGGAGGGGAGTGGATAATTAATGTGCTAAAGTACGACAGTTTCTCGTTATCTGTGCATCCTTCCATACGGTACCCAGCAGGGTTCTCATAGGTCTCACTTTCACTTCCTCCTTCATTTTCTAAATTTCCCTACCCCTCAAAAAAAATCTTTTTTCGACCCTCCCCTCTCTTAACACCATTCACACCCATTATCTCTTCCCTACCTCAAGGCGATGCCTTTCTGTTGTATCCTGTTAACTTTCCCATTTACATCTTGTGTATCACCACATCGTGTAGAACTCTACTGTAAGTTAAAACAATTTTCTTATGTTTTTTCTATTTTACGGTGCACTTTCTTCACTCCATCATTCTGTCGTTCTCAAAATGTTTTCTATTAATCTTACCGTAATCAAGGTCACGGTTTCCCAAATTTTATAGTCTTGCCTCTGCATTGTATTGTACCATGTATACTGGGATATTTTTCCAACACTATGTACAGTACCATACCGTTATGTTTGCAGTAAGTCCAAACTTTTTACATATATGTAATTTGTTTTCCCTTTTATAAATAATTTTCCAATTTGTCATTGTTTTTTAGCTTATACCTTGTAACCATAACCATCCATATTTTATCTAATGTATCATAACCCATGTAAGTTTCCTGATGTTTTTCTACAAATTTGTAACATCACGACGTTTTTGTACAAACTAACTTGTATGTAATTTTTCCCGCTATATAGTTGTAACACACAGAGTTGAAAAGGGACACAATAGTCCGAAATGCATTCTCAAAGGAATAAAAAGTTTTTCTAAAGTTTTTCCTCTTTCTACTGATGGTATAATAAGTATTATAAATTCGTTTTGACATGTATTAAACAATATAATTAAACAAAAAAATTAAACAACACCTATAATTAAACAAAAAAAAATCAAAATAAAAGCAATATTATATGTTGTTGAATGTTTTCCCTTACTTCTACCTACACTTGACAGATAAATGTTAATAACAGAGAGAGTAATTCTTTAAATAGTACCAGTACGGTTTGGGAAACTTACAAGAGAACAACTTAAGACACGGCACGAGTTACATTTTAAACAAACATAAGAAAACAATAAATAAAACTATTACGATTTCGTTTCGAGTAAATAACTATTTGAAATACAGAATGAACAGTTAAAAAGGAATATGAATTTATGAATAATTTACTTGCTACGAAGCTACCAAGTATACACAGAAAATTATAAAAAACAACAATAAACTTAATTGCTTAGAAAATTTGTTACTACGCCGTCAGTGACAGACCTCACTACGTAAACCAATATTGTTAGCTAAAGTGTTCAGTACATCCTATTGCCGTTAGAGCCGCTGTTGCCGTGCCATTAAATTCAAAATGTGAAAGGTACGATTTTGGCAATGGTATGACTTGAGCAACCTTTCCCTACTATTAAAAATGATTGTTGAAGTGGTTAAAACCTAATTATAGCACACTTTTTATTTATTCAATTAAACAGGTGGAACGCACCAAAGACTGAGGTCATAATTATTGCCGATTTTGCAGCGTTAAGTGTAAAGATACTTAAAACTTAATAATCTTAAAAATTATGATACATAAAAATAGTTTCACATACACAGACAGAAAAAAAATAAGTGCTAAAATCGAATGAAACTTAGTATTAAAGTAATGGCGTTGGTAATACAGTAAATCCTTGATGATTATTTAATCAATGAGATAATGTCGAATTATTATTTAAAGATATTTTTAAGTAGATGCATTTTAAATCTGTCCCTCTGCTACAGAATAGTAAGTAGTTAATTTAAATTTATGCGTCGACTTTATGTTTAATTACTTTTTGAGACTAACATAATATTAATAACATTTGCTTTTATTTCACAATTCACGAAGGACATATACTACAGGAAAATTAACATAATTAAAAATTTAGAATTCGATGTTTATTTAATAGGCTTAGTATCTCCCTTTTGTATTTATTATGATATAAAAGAGACAGTGTTTTAATACACTTAATTAATATCAGAAAATAAATTACATTTTCGGACTTACCGCATCAATCATTCTCTTCTTAATTTCATGATAAGAGATGCTTAATTTGTCAGCTTTATTTACGTTTCTTTTAAAAACACGAGAATGTTTCTTTGGATTTTGTAGAACTATGTTCATATAATAGGAATTGTTGGCTATATATACATATAAAAATATAAGATATTAAAATTCTAATAATAGTTTCTCTTACGACATTTTTCATTTTTAAATAAGTAATTTTTATCATTACATAAATTTTTATGCAATGTTAAATGTAATATATATGTTATGTTAAAAAGAAATAAATTCATAATAACAATCACTTTAAAAAAAATAAAAAAAACTATATATCTAAATATACATAATTTGGGTTAAAATGGCAGACAGCATATTTCACAATTTTAATCAAATATATTGTGAGGAACCGGACCTGACGAATTTTGATAAAAATTCGTTTTTCGCCTTTGAAAAAATTTTTTCCCATTTTTATCACCGGAGAATGATTACATCTCTCTTTCCGGAGTCGTTTCTTTTCCCAGGGAACTCATCGAATGTGTCACTGGGAACTAATATCAAAAATTCCCGATCAGTGAAAAAAGATAACGTGATTTAGAAATATAAAAAAAAGAGTGACTCAGGAACAAGGAAGGAGTCAGGGAGTTCGCTAATCGCCCTTCTTGAGAAAGGATATTCGAGTGTGCTTCCCAATTGCCGATCCCGTCTGCCACCGTCGTTTCCCTGACTGTTGTTCCTTTTTTTGGACAATAGAGGTTCTTCCTCCAGGAACCCTATTCGGATTTCTCCGTCTAGAAGCTTGAATTTTTCCCACGAACTTGAACTTTTCTACCCGGGTGCACCCACTCCACGACCGTCCGACGAAGTTCAAGAATCGACGGAACTAGGTATTTATCGCCGCGCGAAAAATAAATGTAAACTCTCTCTCTCTCGGTTAGGAATCCGTTAACCTCAGATGACGCTATATAGCTATAGATACTTTAACTCGTTACTAGAAAACTAAAAAGAATTCTCGGTTACTTTATGTATTTGTGTATAGATGTAAATAAATAAACTTGTACTATTCGTTGTAATTAAGTAGTAGTGTGCACTTCTTCCGATTCGAAGAAGTGCACACTACTACGGGATGGAGGAGAATTGAGAGACGGCGCGCCGTCTCTCAATCCTCCTCCATCCCGAATCAGATCGCCCGCGCACGTGAACGCTCGCGCGAATTCCGAATTTGCGGCCATTAAGGTTTCTGTGTCTATCCTAGAAGACACAGTTATGTCAGTCTTGACGAGGCACTAAAGAGATGCCGACCCTCTGGTCACAATATAAATGAAAACTAAAATGTCTTCTAGCTTCCTGTCTAGTCATCAGGAACAAGTCTTCACTTTGCAGAGACTTTTTATTGTAGACTAATGCCTCTGCACAAATATGTAAAATAGTTATAAGTAGCTGACGATAAGCCAATTCTTTGTTTAAAAATATACATAAAATAGAGAATGTTGTTTTTGATGACACCGGTCAAAATGATTTTTGGCACAGAGAAGAGAAATCGTGTCTAATAGAACTTTTTGTACTGATTTCATATATGTGATTTATATTTTTTTATCACCCTCTAATTTTCTGTAAGCATAGACTTAAATTTTGCCTCCTTGTCTGGAAGTCCATAGAAACTACATCCATAACAGCTGTGATGGATCATAAACACTTGATTATAAACATAATACCATGGAATGGGACTTTTCATCGATTCGTCTAAGATTAGTCTTAAGGCAGTGCTTTTACACAATGGAAACAAATTTCCTTCTGTGTCATTAGCTTATTCAACTAAAATGAAAAAAACCTAGAAAAATATAAAACTCTTACTTGAAAAAATTCATTATTACAAGTACAATTGGATCATATGTTTTGATTTAAAAGTCAGTGCATTATTAATGGGTTTGCAGCTTGGCTATACTAAATTTTGTTGTTTCTTGTTTGATTGGAACAGCAGAGACAAGAAAATCATTACGTCAAGAAGGAACGGCAATACGTGAAATGTTTATTCCTGGCCAAAAAAGTATCATTCATGTCCCATTAGTCAATGATGACATGATTCTTGTACCTCCATTTATATAAAATCAGGATTTTTCAAAAACTTTGTCAAGGAAATGAATGTAAACAATGTTGGATTTTATTATTTGAAAAAAATTTCCTCATACGAGTATACGAAATTTCCTCGTATAAGTAATGCTAAAATGGAAGTCATTCAAAGATGTTACACAAAATTTTTTGGGTAATCACAAAGCTGCAAATTACTTCAAAGTTGTGAATGGGCTCTTAAAATTCTACAAAGATATGGATGTAATATGTCCCTCAAAATGCATTTTTTTGCATTCCCACTTGGATTTCTTCCCCAGCAATCTTGATACTGTCAGTGACGAACACGGAGAGCGTTTCTATCAAGACATCTCTATCATGGAAAAAAGGTATCAGGACTAGTGGAATTCAAAAATGCTTGTTGATTACTGTTTGATACTCCACAAGGCTTCTCCAAACGCCAAACATAGCAGAAGCTCCATATCTCGCCATTTTAGACAAGATAAATAAATAAGTGTATGCATATTGTCTAAATAAATATGTTTTATATTGAAACTGGCCGTCACAAAAAATCCAGACATAATGGAGAAAAACTTTACATATTTGAAAACGGCATAAAAAATTTTATTAGGATTAGGTATTTTTATTTGTGTACCCAAAAAAGCTTTCATTTTGTATCCCAGTTTGATTAGACAGGACGGAAGCAAGAAGATATTTTAGTTTTCTTTTATATATTTGGTTAAAATTATAATTAAATAATTTATTACATTGTTTATTTTCATCTTGGCCATCTTTCTTCTCTATGAGCACGAAGAGGGTCTTTTTATCATTCCCTTTGTGGTTCGACCAGGCTCACAACGCGGCAGCCAGATAGTGATGAGGGAATGGTCCTGACGAATCCTGGAAGGACTACTTCGGAAAATTCCTTAGATTTTTCGACCCATCTGGATTCGTTTCCAGATTCCCGAATGCGTGGTCCGTATATTCCATTGGTCATGATACTCCCTATTCTTAAAGTGTTAAAATTTTACTAACGCTCTTGCTCCCACTGATGGCGCAGAGATCGCTGTTTGATCACTTTTCTGCTAGATTTGAATGGCTGTTTACCTACATACGGGTTTTAATATGTAAATATATTAATAAATTTTTTGTTTTGTAAAATACTTTTTCAAATGCCTTAATGGTTCTTAACTGCTTTCTCAAAGATTGTAATTAATTTTGCAAAAAATATTAACTATAAATATTGATAATATACACTATAAGCTATATAGTAGGCTACATACATATACCGATATGTATATATATATGTTATGTTCTATTTATCTATGTTATTTTATGTTATGTTCTAACATAATTATTTATTTATGTTAGAACACTTATGTTGCTAGGATAAATTATAATTTATCCTAGCAACAGATTCTGATAGCAATAAGATTACTGATTACTTAAAATAAGTAGCTCAGAAATAATCGTAAAAACAATGATACTATATTAAAACAAATAAATCTTTATTGCAAGTGGGATATTTTCCTCTTGTTTTTAGTTTTTGTTTTGAAGTAATTACGGCATTTTTCACTTTTGTAAAGATAATGTAGTCTGATTATAATGTAAAAATGAATAACTAGCTATAAGTGCACTTCTACGACCATCTGCAGTACATCCATATTGCAACCTCACTAACTGTGGATCGTCTAAGACAAAGTTCACAACATTGAAAAAATATTTTAATCAGAAATTATTTCAACTGTATATTAACCACTTATCCATCCGATATAATTGTAGCGATTAAATACAATATTATTATATTATACACCCATACTTAAATCTTAATAAAGGAATTTAAGGTTTCTTTTATAAATTCAATCAATAAACCGCTAAGTTGAGGGAACCATAACATTTACTTAAAAAGAAATGTTTTCGGACCTATTTGGTCAAAGATCAGCTCTTCAAATAGAACTTAGAATAAATAAATGTACAGATACATTGAAAGTTAAGTTTAGAAAATTTACATTTAAAATTTTATATAACTTAGAACAAAAATTTACAAATTAAAAATTAACATTTGATTACAAACAATTATAGAAGTTGTGAAATTCGAAAAACTGACTAATAGTAATGTATACTTTAGATATGAAATTCTTGGGCAATTCATAAAAATTTGAAATTTTTAAAATAAAATTTTCAAAAATTTATAAATACTCAAAAATTCATAAATACTCAAATTCATAAAACTAAAAAAAAAATTAAAAATCCATTTTTTTAATTAATAAAAGTAAGCTTAAAAGTACTGTAAAACTTTTTGAAAAATATTATGTTATATGACAGTCGAATACGCAATTGTTATATAACATAATAATATAATAAATGAACCTGCCTAAGAGCTTTATACAATTGAAGAAATTCGAATCACGTATCAATTACCTCAATGTTAAATGTAGACTTAGGACAAGAGTGGGCAATCTTTTTAAGTGTGCGTAGCAAAATCGTGAAATGTATGATGCGAAATTTCTTAACTTCCCAACCAAAATTTTCGGAAGCATATTACTATTTGGATTCTTTTCATATAATCAAAAATCCACATATTTACACACTTTAGAAACGCGATAAATTCTTTATGAAACACGAAAAAATATGTAGAAGGTATGGTTGCTGTGTCTTCAAAATTCTGTATGTAGCGTCCTTGCAATCGAAACAATAGTTTTGGTACACGACCAAACAGCAATTAGAAAACGTTACGGTTTATTTAAAACACTTTTTTTTAATTCAGATGCATTTCGGGTTGACTTGTATTCCCAACCCCTCTTCAGTGCTGTTAAAATTACAAAAAAACAAAGTAGTTTCACGACATTGGCAAGTATGACGTAAAAAAAGGGGGTAAACAATTATATGACGTGTAAGTTTTTTTGTTATTGTTTACCCCTCCTTTTTTACGTCATACTTGCCAATGTCGTGAAACTTGCTTTGTTTTTTGTAATTTTAACAACACTGAAGAGAGGTTGGGAATACAAGCCAACCCGAAATGCATCTGAATTAAAAAAAAGTGTTTTAAATAAACCGTAACGTTTTCTAATTGCTGTTTGGTCGTTTACCAAAATTATTGTTTGGATTGCAAGGACGCTACACATAGAACAAAAACGAACAACATTTAAAATTTTGGATATTTATTTTTTAAGGAAAACTATAAATATGAAGATATAAATAAATTTTTGATTAAAACCAATTGTTTTTCCTTAACATTATTATAGTTTAAAACAAATGTTTATAACATATTAAAATAGTATAATAATCTAATATTTTGCAATCTCGTTTCGCTGCTAGGTTTCAAACATATAACAATGTATAGAAAATTGATAAGGTTAATAAAAATAATTTATAAAATTACCAAATTCGCACGATCCATTCTTTGACATCATCATTGAAAGTGGACAAATGCATTTACTGATATTTTCGTTTTCATCATATTCACATTCAAGATTTTTCTTCTTACATTCCTGCGCTTCGTCATATGTACAGTCACCTGAAATGCATGATAATATAAAATTCAAAAATGCTATTTTACAATATTTAGAAGAAACCCATTATTAATTTTCCGTACTTGAACAGATTCCATTTTCTAACTCTCTTAATCCTTCAAGACAAACACATTCATATCCTTCATCACTGTTTTTATTCTCTTTACATCGTGCATTTTTCTTAGAACAATCAACATCTCCTATTTCACCTTTCGCACAAAACGCTTTCTCTAAAATGTACATTATTTAATTAATGAAATTATAAAAATATGATTAATATTTTTCAAGTAACAAACATTACTGAAAATTACTTTAAAACAAGTTACATAAGATATAAACTCTATTGACCTGACTTATAGTCTGTACGTCATTCATTTTAAAATCTTTTTAAGAATGTTTGATTGAAGTTTTAAAATTTTAAGCAACATTGAAAATAAGAAAATTTATATGATTTACCTATACAGGTGTTCCCATCTTTAGAGTATTCGTATTTTCCTGTACAATTACATCTAAATTTTTCTTTATCCCAAGATACACAACCCATTGGACAGATTTCTTCAATTTTTGAACTATTGCATATATCTAGTTAAAAATTAAATGTATGCATCAATTTTAACAAAATTTTTTTATTAATTACATAAAACTAAACAATAGTTACTAACTACAGTTAGTAATTTTTCCAATTTTTAGCACTAAACAAGAATTTTAATTATTTTCATAGTAAAATGGGAAATGTCATAAGTCATAACAAATTTACTTTATAATGGTTCACATTTAATGTAACATATGCTGTTTGAGAAAAAACAACAATAAGCTTACTTTTAACTCACCAACATCAGAATCCTTTTGTTTTCTGCTTACATCTGTATAGTCACATTTATCTGAGTACTAGAAAATCGTTTTTTATTTTATTTGCAACCAGCTGCACCCGGCCACGCGTTGCTGTGGCTCAAAATATGTCTATTATAAATGTATAACACTCCTAGAGAAAGGGAATTTCGAAAAATCCCTTGTTAGTGTATATTCTCTTGATGTACCCTATTAAAACGCAATCAAAAACGCAAAAAACTGCATCTAAAATAGAATAATAGAATACCAGTTCTTCACGGTAAGCCTTAATTTTGTCCCTCTCCGCCGCAGGGGGATTTTGACATCTAAATAATATAAAAACGCGCGTATTCGAATCAACGTTGTGTCAAAATTTGAAAGCAATTTATTATTATTGCATTTGAAATTATTTATTTGTTTATTGTTAATTTTTGTAGCGTGTGACTTTATTTCTGTTTTAAATGTAGAAACGTCTTCATCTAAATGATCAGTCATATCATTAAAATATTCATAAACTATATACTTACGAACACATTTATCTTCATTTTTGTTTTCATGAACGTAACCTAAGTTGCATTTACATTCACCATTTTTCAATATTCCATTTTCACAAGCCGTATTATCTTTTTTTTCTAAATCTGTAATTGAATATAAAGCTTTAGAACTTTATGCTTACTTTTAGAATAATGTTATGTTTATTTACAAAAGAACAAAAATATGGACACCACATTAGCCCCTTCTCCATTACATATCATACATGTAAAGGAAATATTCAAGTAAATACGTATATATATAATACTATTACATATTGGCATCTTAGTTAACTTATAATTTCGGTTTATAGAATTATCGCTTAATCGGGCAAGCATTTCTTTAGGAAAAATCTTAATGACAAAAATAAATCAAGATAATCAAAATTTGTTTCGGTTACTTAGGACTTGCTGTTAAATGGTAACTGTGGCTGATAGATAATGCATTCCTGTGATGTGTGGCGAGGAGGCTATTTTTAGACCACTCAGTAACAAACATATGTATGAATATATAGGCCTATTTATTTGTCGCTGAGTGAATTGGCAGTGTGGTAATTCTACTCGTAATGACTGCTAGACAGCAAGATTGTCATTGATACAAGTATGTATTGTTTGGATCGACTCATTTAGTAGCAGAGAGCTATATTTAGTGTAGCGATTTGCTTTTTTTTTTTTTTTTTTTTTTTCAATTTTGCTTTCAATTTTAATTCTATACATTTAACGCTAAATGTCCTACAATAAAATCAAAGGCTAGTACAAATAAAGCTATCTATCTAAGTTAACAGTGGAATAGACCTACAATAACATATCCGATACAACAGCATGATAAACTACAGTAGCTACAAATAGATATCACATTATGGACAATAGTGAACTTTCCAAAAATAGAAATGTTGAGATAAATTAACAGTTCTCTATCGTAACTAAATGAAATATATCTGTTAGTAATCAAAAGTTGAAAATAAAGTCAGTGACATGCTAAAGAGCTGATTCGTTTGCTTCGAAATACAGGGTGAGCCAACGAAAACGAAACGGCAGAGTTATCGTGTTCGTCCAAGCAAATCGCTCGGACAGGTCGATTTTATTCTCAAGGGGGATATCTGCAATAAAGTTTTTGCGATTCTGAATACAACAGACAACAAAAAATTTTAAAAACTCATTCATTTTTTATTAACTACACAAACATTTATTTCGGAAAAAATGAATGAGTTTTTAAAATTTTTGTTGTCTGTTGTATTCAGAATCGCAAAAACTTTATTGCAGAAGATGTCCCCTTGGGAATAAAATAGACCTGTCCGAGCGATTTGCTTGGACGAACACGATAACTCTGCCGTTTCGTTTTCGTTGGCCACCCTGTATAAAGAGTTAATTGTGTAGTTTCGACCAGAGTATGAAACTTCGACCAAAATCTGTTTTAAAGGAAAAAGTTGTTTTAAATAAAATGCTCTTAGTAGATAAAATATGGTGAGAGATCGAGAAATTGAACATTTTCTTCAACGATCGCGAAAATGGGATGATAAAATGTATAATAAAACCAAATGTCACGCGAATGTAACTAGTAATATTTACAACCGGGTAAAAACGCTTGACTGTGAATTACGGACGGATTCACGACAAATTCAATAAACATCTTTGGTCGGTGTTGGATCTTTGAAATCTGTCTGGAATCAGAACCAACCGGAAAGGTATAGGATGGATATCACGACCAATTAAAACGTCCGATCGGGGATGCGAAACCCGTAACAGACCCGAATTCAAACACCAATAGTAAGTATTATCTGTTTCTTTTGCAACTACGTTTTAGTTATTTTTATTTTTACGATAGTTTTCATTCTACAATTCTGTGTTTGCAATATAGTTTTTTATCTAAAATAATATTTATTTGTCTCGTCTAGGTCCTGAAGTTCCCTTTCCATCTCAGGAATGATCAAAGTACACAAGTCATTTCAACCTGGAACGAAATTTGGGCCTTTCTCTAAAGTGTCTTTCATCTATGTGATATGTGGCTGTTCTCCCAAACCATCAATGAGATGTCCAGAGTTTTAATTAGACCTTTCCTTTGTTTCTTCAAGATCCACCTTGGATTTTTACGTACCTTTGCTTCTATTTAACGCGTATTTTTTCAGCTATTATTGCATTTTAAATTTGTAAAGAAATGTTCGATGTTGTTACGAATTCGAACATAATTTACCTGACGAAGGCTCATGAATAGAGCCAAAAATGTTTAGTATAGAGATTTAAATACCCCAGTGGAAAGGTGTTTTTATATTTAGTTTAATCTCTACATATATCTAGCCTTTTCTATCTGTAATGATGCAAAAACAGGTTGTGTGACAATTAAACGCTTCAGTTACGCCCTGAGCTAGAAATACGCAATACTGCTGTATTTAATTAAAACGCAATCCATCACGTAAACACGTTATGACAATCAAACATGTCAGAAAGTGTTAAACAAAAACTTTTAGTTTTCGGTTATTAAAAAATACGGAGCATCTGTTTGTCTGCTGTACGTTCTAGGAGACAGAACGAATAGTTTAATAATTTTGTATTATACTACAGTAGAGCCTCGATTATCCGACCCCCGATTAACCGACCCCTCGGTTAACCGACCGTCCTAGTCGGCAAATTTCAAATGTTTGCTAGTGATGTGGCGCTACAATATTTGGCTATGTCTTGGCTACTTTAATATTATTTTGACGTGTTTTAGCAGGCGACACTCATTCGACCATGAAAAGGAGCCAGTATTTAAACGAGGCTTAATTTTCTAATTTTTAACGATACAATAGCGACGATTATTATTTAAAAATTTTTTTGTTAGGCTTAACATCGATGAAAATTCAACGCGAAGTAGGTTAATAGCGGTATACTAATATACTAATTACATGGGATATAATAATATACTACACTAATAATGGATTTTTTCATACTTTTCGGTTATCCGACTTTTCAATTATCCGACCAACCCCAGTTCCCAATTAAGTCGGATAATCGAGGCTCTACTGTAATAACTACAAGTGGATAATTTCTCAAATTTAAAAAGAAAACAATCATAAATAAACTGGGACCTATATTTGAACAAAAGACAAGAAGTAAGAAAATTCTTGATAACTGAGTAAAAAATTTGCATTTAAATTGTTTTAAACATCCAACTGAAATTGTTCTCCTTAACACATCTTTGGTGCAGTTGATGGCCACGGATAATATAAAAAAATGTAAACATATTGTATCTTAGGTTATTGGGAAATATATCCTTGAAGAAACTAAAGCTGAAACTTATATTAAATTGAAATTACTGTATATAAAATTTTTTTCTATCTAGATTTTTTTTTCTTCTAGAAATATTTAAGTACCGATATTTTTATTCCTCAGTAAAAAGTGGTTCGTGTTTCATTTTATATTTGGTAACACTTTATTTAAACATCACATAATAGTAGTAGCTGTTTAATAGGACTAAAATAATTCAGGCTTATATGGTCCAATCAGCCAAAATTTTGTTTTATATTCTAATTTATAACTGAATGTCATAGTAAAACTTAAATATAATTTATGATCGTATTTGCTGTCTTAGTGTAAAATTTTATTTTATGTTTTTCTATTTTTCATTTTTCTCCCTTAATTAGTTTTAATTTTTAAATGTTCTTAAATATATTACAATTATTTCGTGTTATACAAAGATTGAGTGAGTGGCCTAGTAAAAAACCAGCAAACTTCAAAAAATTTAATTATTCGGATATTAATATCATATTGAACGCTATATAATTATATACAACCCGCAAGCATCAAAACAAGACAAATTCAATATGTAGCGCTGATATTCGGCTTAAAAAGCAAGACTTAGTATCAAAATCAGTCATGTCCAGGTTGTATTTTGTTTCAAGTCAGACAGTTCCACCTAACCAATCAGATTTGTTCACATGCTCTTCATGCAACGTATATGAGTTCATTGCAGTAACTGTTACAGTTTCTAGTTGTTTTATGATAATTAACATTTATTTTTGTTTATGAAAAATTGAAGAAAATGAAAAACTAACGAGAGAAACGCTAAGAAACCAAAATGAGTGGAAAAGAGTCAAGGAAAAGAGAATGGGGTAATGTATACAGATATCTTTCTCGTTAGACTATCAGATTCTTCTGTAATTTAGAATGATGTTTATATTCATTAATTCTATGAATGTTCCGAACTATCATACTAAGTTTGAAGTGCCAGAAATCTTTATTATTGTTGAAATCATTATGTTTGTTTTCTTATGATTTTTATAATATCTATTTTTGAAAGGAATTTCCCGCACAGACTATGAGAAAGGCACAATTGTGGACATAATACGAAAAATTGACATGCAGTAAACTTACAATGTTTACGAGTTCCATAAATGATTTCATTATTTCGTGATAAAATACATTAAGATAACTTAGTTTTTAAAACATAAACGTGGTTACTGCAGTGTAAAACGTAAACGTGCGGATCACCATTTTATAACATTTTATGCTTAACAAAAAATCGGATCAATGAAGATGCGAACATACATATATACACCGGCATAAGTGTATATGAAAAAAGGGCAGAGTTCGATATTCCGTACGGTTTTCTAAAAAAAAAGATACAATGTGTTTATCTATTATTAAATTAATACCAATTGAGTCACATTATGACAGAGAAAAAAACCAACCGCAAATATTTAGAATTTGATTTAAACGAAACAAAACTGGAAAATGTGCAACAGTAGTGTCGCAATACAGCAGACAATAACTGTCCAACTTTAGATCAATTTCTAACACATAGATTATCATTGGATTCAGCACATTCAGAAGAAATGCCTGTTTGTCTATAAACGTTAAAGTCGAAAAATAATACACAAAAATTAAATTTAATGTTTCAACAATTCAATCATGTACAATTCATTCTTTAGGATGAAAAACTAAATTTAAAAAACATTAACTGAGAAAACAGGCACTCTTTTCACTCCTGAAAAAAGAAAAATAATGATCTTTTGACATTAAAATTGCAATAGTCGACATTAAAATTTTAGATCTGGAAGTTTGTGACTCAATTAGTTTTTAGGTTCCTGGGCACTAGCATTCAGAATTTCACCAAACAAAAAAGCATGTTT